CACGTTAGAGGGGCTTGGTAAAGACCTTGAACCTTTCCACTAAAATCACAGAAGGGCTGCTCCTTAGGAATAGAGACTATATCCCAGGAACTAGAAATTTACTATAACTAAGACCTAAAGCAAAACAGACTTATGCTAAAAAAGGATAAAAATCAAACCTCTCCAAACAGCTGTAAACTGTACATCAGCAGTCCCCAGCCTTTTTGGCACCAGGGACCAGCTTACAGGTTTTCCATATGCAGGAGCAGGGGATGGTTTCAGGATGATTCAAGCACATTAAATTTGTTATGCACTTCATTTCTATTAATATTACATTGTAATATATAATGAAATAATTATGCAACTCACCATAATGTAGAATCACTGGGAGCCCTGAGGTTGTTTCCTGCAACTGGACATTCTTTTCTGGGGATGATGGGAGATGGTGGCAGATCATCAGGCATTAGATTTTCATAAGGAGCGTGCAACCTAGATTCCTTACATGCGCAGTTCACAGTAGGGCTTGCACTCCTATGAGAATCTAATGCCACCACTGATCTGATAGCTCGGGCAGTAATGTGAGAGATAAGGAGTGGCTGTAAATACAGATGAAGCTTTGCTCACTGGCCTGCCAATCACTTCCTGCTGTGCAGCCCAGTTCCTGACAGGCCATGGAGCAGTACAGGTGCATGGCTCTGGGGGTTGGGGACCCCTGCTATACATAATCTTTGCAAGGGCACATGAATATACTAAACTCTGTTCACCAAGATACACTATATTCTGGGCCATAAAACAAGTCTCAGTAAATACAAAGGATTGAAATCCTACCAAGGATTGGAATCATATAGAGTATGGGGGTTTTGTTTTTGTTGTTTTATAGAGACAGACTTTTGCTTTGTTGCCCAGGCTGGTCTCAAACTCCTGGCCTCAAGTGATCCTCCTGTTCTCAAAATGCTGGTATTACAGATGAGAGCCACTGTGCCCAGCCCCTACAGAGTATGAAAATAGAAATCAGTAACAGAAATCTGGAAAACCTATACATGTTTGAAAAATTAAACAACACTTGTTAGTAATCCTTGGGTCAAAGAACTCACAAAGGAAATTAGAAAATATCTTAACTGAACAATAATGAAAATACAATATATTAAAGTTTGTAAGATGCCATTAAAGCACTGCTTAAAGGAAAAATTGTAAGTTTAAATATTTATTTTTTAAAAAGGTTTAAAATCAGTGATTTTAGTTTCCACCTTAATAATATCTACTCATTATATTGAATAGTGACAGTGAAAAAAATAATATTCACTCAGTTTTTTAAAAAAGGTTAGCAGATTAGGGTTTAGAAGGAAACTTTCTCATTCTGATGAAGATCTACTAAAATCCTCAAGCTAGCATCATACTTAAATATCAAAGGCTTCCCCCATAAGATTGGAAACAAGGCAAGGATATTCACCCTCTGTTTATTCATTTAAGTAATAGATGTCTTAGCCAGGATAATAATAAGTCATGAAAGAAATAGAAGGCATAAAGATTGCAAAGAAAGAAGTAAAACATCCTTATTTGCAGATGACACAATTATTTATATAGAAAATCCTGGCCTGGCACAGTGGCTCACTCCTGTAATTCCACCACTTTGGGAGGCTGAGGTGGGCAGATTGCTCAAGCTCAGGAGTTCCAGACCAGCCTGAGCAACATGGCAAAACCCCGTTTATACTGGGAAGTAGAAAAATTAGCCAGGCATGGTGGCTCATGTTTATAGTCCCAGCTATTCAGAAGGCTGAGGTGGGAGAGTTGCTTGAGCCCAAGAGGTCGAGGCTGCAGTGAGACGTGATCACACCACTGCACTCCAGCCTGGGTGACGAAGTGAGACCCTGTCTCAGAAAAAAAAAAGAAAGAAAAAGAAAGAAATAACCCTAAAGTATCTATAATAAAGCTATTATGTCAAAGAAATTAATATAGTGGGGTCACAAAATACAGGTGGGTCAGCGCACAAAAATTCAGTATATCAATAATTGTATTTCTATACTATAAGCAGTAAACAATAGGCAAATGACATTTTTAAAAATTCCTTTTCTAAGTACACCAAGAAGCCTAAAAACCTTAGAAATAACTTTATAAAAGAGGCACAACAGCTCTATACAGAAAAGTACAAAAACATTGCTGAGAGAAGTTAAAGAAGATCAAAACAAATGGGGATTTTTTATCAGTTGGAATACTCAATATTATTAAAATGTTTGTTCTTCCAAAATTCCGTGGACTTAACACAGTCCCAGAAACCCAACAGGCATTTTTGTAGCAGTTGATCAGTTGCTTCTAAAATTTATGCAGACATGCAAAGAACTCTCATAACAGCCAAGAAATCTTTACAAATAACAAAATTGAGAGACTCACTACCAGATTTCAACAGTAAAGGGGAAAATAAAAACAGGTTAGTGGGCTTTATCTAATCAGTTGAAAGCCTTAATAGAACAAAGATTGACCTCCTCTGAGCAAAAAGAAATTTTGCCAGCAGATTGCCTTTGGACTCAAACTGTATTTCTTCCCTGAATCTCCAGACTGCCAGTCTACCCTGCAGATTTTAAACTTAACAAGCCTCTACAAGCATGTGAGCCAGTTCCTTAAAATAAATCTCAAGCTCGCTCTCTCTCTCTGTCTGCCCCCTGTACCACTCTTCCCCATACACACACACACACACACACACACACACACACACACACACACCCCCTCTATTGGTTCTTTTTCCTTGGAGAACCCTTACTAATACACCATCTTAACTAAGTAATCAAATTTAGCATCAAAAAAGTATGAGACAAAGTAACATTACACAGCATAAACTATGAGGGATTCTTGGCAAAAGTATTAAACCTTGTCCAATCAAGTATTTGTTTTATTTTATTTTTACTTTCTGAGGCCTGGCAGAACCAATCAAGTCTGAGTTCTAGTTTTCTAAAAATACAGGAGTTAGAGAAAGAAGTTGGACTACACTTCAGACAAATTCAGAATGTGAGAACTTTCTTTGTGCTGATTTATTTATTTTTTAATATTTAAAAAAAGAGACAGGGTCTTGCCATGTTGCCCGTGCTGGTGTCAATCTCCTGGCCTCATGCTATCCTTCTGTCTCTGCCACCCAAAGTGCTGGGATTACAGGTGTGAGCCACCACACCCAGCCAGAATGTAAGAACTTTCGAGAAAACAGTTGGCCTGGCACCTTTTTAAAAAAGTATTGTGTGTCAAGAGACTACAGAAACATAACTATATGTAATGAGTATCCATTATAAAGTTCTCAGTTTGAAAAAAATTCTACGAAAGACATTTGGGAGACAAATAAAGCAAATAATCCAATTTAAAAATGGGTAAAGGGTCTGAATAGATATTTTTCCAAAGATGATACACAAATGATCAACAAGCACATGAAAAGATGTTCAACAGCATTAGCCATCGGAGAAATGCCAATCAAAACCACAAAGAAATGCCACTTCACACCCACTAGGATGACTATAATCAAAAAGATAATAACAAGTGTTGCCGAGGATATGGAGAAATTGAAAGCAACATACACTGCTTGTGGGAATGTAAAATAGTAAAGCTGCTTTGGAATACAGTTTGACAGTTCCTCAAAAATTAAACATAGAGTTACCATATGGCCCAGCAGTTCATCTCTTAGGTATATACCAAGAGAAATTAAAACATATGTCGATATAAAACTTGCACATGAATGTTCATAGCAGCATTATTCATAATAGCCAGAAAGTGGAAACAGCTCAATACCATCAACCAATGAATGGATAAACCAAATGTTACCACATTCATACAATGGAATATTATTCAGCCATAAAAGTAATGAAGTACTGACACATACTACAGTGCAGATGAACCTTGAAAACATTATGCTAAGTGAAGGAGGCCAGACTCAAAAGAGCAGATAGTGTATGATTCAATTTATATGAAATGTCTAAAACAAGTAGTTCTGTAGAGACAGAAAGCAGATTGGTGGTGACCAGGAGCTGAGGGATGTGTATAGATTTTCTTTGTGGGGTGATGGAAATGTTCTGAAATTAGATAGTGGTAATGGTTGCACAACTTTGTGAATATACTAAAAACTACTGAATTACACATTTTAAAGAGGTAAATTTTTATGGCATGTGAATTTTATCTCAATAAAGCTGCTAAAAATAAAATAGTAGTCAAAATGGCACCAATTTTGTAACTGGAGTCTCCTTGTGTGGCAATAACTCTTACCCAAGACTTCTGTTGGTCACATGAAAGGGGAGCATTCAAACTTGTTCTTACTTCCAGTGGCTTTTGAGACATCTAAGGCAGATGCCTTCCCTAGTACATACAAGAATCCAAGAACTAAGAATGCACTAAATGTAGACCCTTATAAGCTGTTTTCTATTTTCCACTTGAAAGACGTAGTTTCCCGGCATCTGAGACTTCCCAGAACTTCAGCATCAAAGGAGCAGCTGTTTGAACATTTCCAGTAGCAGCTGCCATCCACTAGTCGGGAGGAGTGTATGCCACCACAGATCAAATCCCACTTTAGCAAACCTGTGCCAGTGGAAATTTCACTGTAACCAAATATTTTGAAGATCTCAATCATTTAAAGTAATAATATGTAATAAAATGCTAGTAAAGTAAGAGAAATGGGATAGTCTCTTAGAATTGACTGTAGTGGGATATGACATCTGTCATTGTCAATAGGCTGAATTTTAGTCATCTTAGAGACAAAGTGTAAAGGATAATAGTTTGCAGTGTAGTTAGAGATGAGAAACAATAAAATGATATTAAGTACTAGATTAATGATTTAAAAAATGCTATAGTAATTCAAAATTTGCTACTAGTGTCCATTTATAGAGCACCTACTTTGAGCATGAAAACTTCCTGTGTACTGGAGATGGAATGACAAAAAGATCGCCTCTACGTAAAGTCTGTTATTTAAAAGTTTGGTCAGGTATTCTAAAACGTTATTAACAAGTTTATATACTTAAAAGCCAAAAGTAATCTTTTATTTTCTTCTGTAATAGATGCTGTGAGAGAAGTGAGGAAATATTCCTCAGTTCATACCATTGAGAGGAGCTCCACCAGCAGACCTGATGCCTATGAACACACACAGATGAAACTTTTTAGGTCTCAAAGAAATCTTTACATTTCTGGATTTTCACTATTTTTTTGGCTGTAAGTAAAAAAAAAAAAAAAAAAAAGTAGAAGCACAGTTTAAAAACACGATTTATGCTTCTCTTTCTCGTTTTGTCCACCTTTACTGTAGGTTTTTTTTTTTTTTTTTTTTAAAGAGAGACAGCCTTTTGCTCTGTTGCCCAGGCTGCAGTGCAGTGGTGCCTTCATAGCTCACTGTAACTTTAAACTCCTGGGTTCAAGTGATCCTCTCTCTTCAACCTGTCGTTTCTAGGACTACAGGTACACACCACCATGTAGGGCTAATTTTTAAATTTTTTGTAGAGATGGGGCCTCACTATGTTGGCTGGACTGGTCTCAAACTCCTGGCCTCAAGTGATCCTCCCACCTTGGCCTCCCAAAGTACTGAAATTATAGGCACAAGTCACTGTACCCAGCCTACTTGTAGATTTTTTTATAACATCTTTGTAAAAGAATTCAGATGATATACCCAAATAACAAACAGTAGTTAGCAGCTTGTAGGTTTGCAAAGTCCATAAGGCCCTGAATGATCAGGCCCCTGCCTCTCTGTGGAGCCTTGTCTCATGCATGTCTCTGACATGTACAATATATTCCACCCTTACTGACTTTCACCATTTATTCATTCATTCCATCTTGCAACAAATATTGATTGAGTTCTGTGGTGTACCTAACTCTTTCCCATTTTAGGGTCTTTACACAACCTATTCCTTTTGCCAGAACACTCTTTTCTTTCCTCATTTCCTGGCTAACTCTTACTCATCCATTAGCCTCTTTCTCAAAGCCTTCTGTGGCCATCACTACCCACAAACTAGGTAGGTCTTCTCTTACAGATGCTCAAAGAATGTATATATACTTCATTTTCTAGTGTCATTCATGGTTGTAATTAAATACTGTTTAAACTTTTGCTTACCCAACTAGGAGCTAAACCCCCGAGGGCATGGACTTTGCTGTTTTCCGCTGCATCTGCAGTGCCTAGCAGAGTGTCTCAACACTTAGCAGTTCCTGAGTAAAGGAATGTCTGCTGAATGAATAATTGAAGATAGTAGTCACTACTTCTAACAATGGCAGTTACCCATAAACAGATGTGAGCGAGCTGTTCTTCAGCTTGATTGACCTTACACAATGTTCCTTAAATAGCAGAATTTGAACTGGGCCAAAAAAAGAATTCTCTTCCTGGCCCTGCCACACTAGATGAAATTTTCCTGTTTCTACTCCTTCAAGCTAAAGCCTTCTACAGGAAAACAAATAAGTACCACTGAACCTGTATTCTAAGTGCTGATCTTCTAACAAAGATTCCAAGGAATGAGACATGGTCCTGTTTTTACTAAAAGACTTGAATTTAAAAAAATAATGGGTTTTGCCTAAACGTTATCTGCCACCACCACACCTATACCTAATGGGGAGTAATTTGGCAATGACTGTTTTAAAATAAGTTTCTGATGATTGGCCAGTAACACGTTATTCTGATTTTTTTTTTCTTAGAGTGTTGAGACGTCTGGTTACGCTTATTACTCAACTGGCGAAAGAACTGTCAAACAAAGGTGTACTTAAAACTCAAGCCGAAAATACTAACAAGGCTGCCAAAAAATTTATGGAAGAAAATGAAAAACTAAAACGGGTATTTAATTTTCTTTGTAAAAATTAAATGTTGTTAGTGTTCCCCAGGAGTAATATATTTGTTTTCAGCATCTAATATATTTGTTTTCAGCATCAAAAAGAGCATTTTTATATTGTATAAGCAGAAAATGATCATAATTAACAATATTTTATGTAATGATTGTTTCAAGAATAGTTTTACTATTCTTTAGAAATGCTTGTTCCCACTAATATTTTCACTATTGTTTGGATTTGCTTTTTCTCCATAGTGGATTAATACCATTGGACCTATTTTCTGTGATTTAAGGCAAAAATAGTATTCTGGGAATATGAATTTTAATTCCTTCATTACCCTTAAGTTTACTTTATAATCTAAAGTCTTTATAACTCCGTTTCCATTTCTTCTTCAGTTAAAGTATTTTTAAGCCTAGATTTTAGTTTTCTTTTAAATGATTGGTTTACAGAAAGCAGAGAAACGTCATTGATGCTAGATTGATAATTTCACATAATATTCGAAATATTTAATGTTATTCCTTTATTTTCTATCCTTTGATCTCATTTCACAGTGGTAAAAATAAAAACACAGTCATCAAAGCTTTGATTGATACGTGATAACTAAACTCGAAAGCACATAGCCTTGTATTTATGGAACAACTGATCATGTACATATCTTAATTTAAAATTATACACATCATTTTGGAGTAATGATTTGTAACCATCAGAACACGGCTTTTTTTCCTCTTCAGTTGTTTTTCTCTTATTCCTTAGCTCTAAGAAAATGGAAAGTGTTATTTTTCCCATACATACTATAGTTAATACACTTAAATTAGTCTTGCCCTTTTTTAAAAAAAAAAAAAAAAAAAAAAGCACCTTCCTCAAAATACTTTTGCAACTTTTCTCTTGGAATTGTTTTCAGAACCATTTACCCATGCAAGGAAACTTATGTCATGATTACCAATTCCTTGACCCTGCATGATTTATTCTTTCTGTTTGTTTGTTTTCTTCTCCTTTGGTACCATGCTATTCTGATTCACTGCTTCCTGCATAGCTGTGACCCAATCAGTGGCGGCACAGATATGCTGGGCTAAAGCCAGTACACAGTGGGGAGAAAGTCTGTGAGCGGGACATAAAAGCAGTTGTCAGTGCCCAAAATATAACTAATTGACCAATAAAGTGATCAATAAAGGCCATAAGTGAGAATGTAGAAGATGACATCTATTTCAAGGTGCTTCATGCAGGTTTTGAAAAATAAGCTAAGGAAAGATAAGCTTGTGAAGACACCCCCTTTGTAATGTCCTTTCTTCCTTTCCTCCCTTTCCTCTCCTTCCCTCCCTTCCTTCCCTTCCTTCCCAGACTGATCTCAAACTTTTGGCCTGAAACAATCTTCCCACCTTGGCCTCCAAAAGTGCTGGGATTAATAGGCAAGAGTCACCACGCCCAGCCATACCTCATCATTCTCTATCAGAGACACATTTTCCATTGGAAACTGCATTACCCTGACATCCAAGAGACTTAGGTGCTAGTTCCAATGTGTGACATAGCACAAATCACCTATGTTAATGGGCCTCCAAGTTCCTTAGCTATAAATAATAGTTAACATTGTGCCAGGTATTGCTTCAAGTGCTTCACAGTAAGGTTTTTAACTGTTAATTTTCACAAAAGCCCCATGAATTTGGTATTGTTATTATCTGCATTTTATAGATGAGGAAACGGAGGCACAGAAAGGTTAAGTGACTTGCAAAAATCATTCAGCTAATATGTGACAGAACTAAAATTTGAACCTAAGCAGCCTGACTCTAGAATCCACATTCATAACCACATTATTTTGTGCCCTCAACTCCTATGTTATCCGATAGAACAATTTCCACGTGGTACCTGTGACCCCTTTCTGTTCTGATATTCAGTTAAAGAAGTGAAATAATTATGAAAAACCAATTACTTTTAATTTTGCTACTTCAACGTGATAGAGCTTTACTGTGCTCTGATTTTTTTTTTCCAGCCACGTAACTTACCAAGGTGGGATAATTTGGATGAGACAGTGAACACCTGTGTTGTTGTAGCTGGTGGTCATTAAATTTCAGATTTCAGGGTTCTTGGTCTTTCTCCAGCGTCAAGTTACACATCATAAATTTAGGCAAGTTTACAGGTGCAGTAGTGAAAGCTTATTTACAAGACTAACACAAATCCAACTTTTCCAAGTCAATGGCATGAAAATTCAAGCAGTCAGCGAAAACATTCCTGCAACTCAATGATTCTCTTCTAATTTGGGTAATCACTGGAGATTTTATGAACTGAATTCAGTGAAGTATTAGCTGGAGTTGTTTTCAGCTTGAAGTAGGCAACAAATTAAAAGGGATTTGGAGAATTTTTTTCTTGTGCTGCTCTTTACAAAAAAAACCTTTTTTTATTAATTTGAGAAGATATGAGGCTCCTTTAGTTTCAGAATGTACTTCAGTCCTCCTGTCTCCAAAAAATAGTCCTTGGGATTATATAATATATGCATTAGAGCTTTAATTCCTCCTTCTGAGCTGCCTAATCTCTATATAGCACAGTAGTACTGTATTTGGTCTTGTGCTACAGTTTTTATGCTCGTCTCATCCTTTCTACTAGATTGAAGTTACTCGAAAGTCGAGACCATGTTTCTCTTACATTTTTATCTCTTACAGCACCTTGCATTGTAAACTATTTGCATGTAGTCATTGCTCAGTAGAACTTTGTGTTTTGTTGAATATATGGGCTTACATTAGAAAATGAATCACCCTGCAGTAGAAATTCCTCTCTTATGTCAGTCTGTTTAAAATTATCCTGTGTTCCTTTTTTACCTGACAATAGAACCTGTCAGTATCAAGTTGCTGCCACTGGCCAGGTACAGTGGCTCATGCCTGTCATCTCAGCGCTTTGGGAGGCTGAGGTGAGACGATTGCTTGAGGCCAGGAATTCACGACCAGCCTGGGCAATATAGCAAGATCTCTGTCTCTACAAAATATATATATTTATATGTTTATATATAATTTTTTTTTAATTAGCCTGCTGTGGTGGCACATGCCTCTAGTCTCAGCTACTCAGGAGGCTGAGATAGGAGGATCACTTAAGCCCGGAAGGTCAAGGCTGAAGTGGCTATGGGTTGCACCACTGTACTCCAGCCTGGGTGACAGAGTGAGACCCTGTTTCTTAAAAAAAAAAAAAAAAAAAAAGAAGTTTCTGTCTCTTTATTTAGTCTACTGACGTACAACAGTATACATATTAGGTTTTTCAAACATTTACTTTGTCTTTGTTGGTAATTTAAATTCTTTGTCATTTCTTTAAGTCAGCTTCTTAGTTCTGATGATAATTATAGTTTCAGTTCACAATACAGATTATGAAATTTTTACTCCATGATAATTTTATTTTGATCAGTTGTTTTACTATTTGGATCTTAATTGTTCTTGCCTAGAAAAGATAAGCTGCAAACACTAACATTTTTAAAACCAGAATCAATTTTAAAATACAAAGAGCTTTATAAAGGATTAATGGAATAAAAGTAATTTGGTAACTATTCAGTGAAAATTAGAATTTTCCAGCTGTAGAAATGGCCATCATTTCCCACTTACCCATCTCCACTCTGACATATTCTTCTCTTACAAATTTGTCTGTATAAAAATAGGCTGAGTGGATCGCTCTACAATCAGAACATAATGGTTTTCTAATTAATATCATCTTCAGATCTGTTTTTTTCCCCTTAGATTTACATTTCTCATTAATTGATGGAGAAAGACTGACATTATTTACCTAAATACTTTTGAGAATATTATTTTAAATTCTTATGTTCACTTTAGAGATTTCAGCCATAATAAGAAATCTTTTTTGTGTGTTTGCCAAATAGTAAGTTTCTGTTAGCAAAAGTACATTGTAGAAAACTATAAAATTCTGAAAAGGACAAAGAATAAATTATAGACCAGTAATTTTAGATAGGCTACTCAGCTCATTTTCTGTAAGAACGTCTGGCTATTGCAATTTAAGCTTAATTCTTCCTATATCTCCCTTTTGCAATAGATTTTGAAAAGCCATGGTAAAGATGAAGAATGTGTTTTGGAAGCAGAAAATAAAAAACTAGTACAAGACCAGGAGAAACTGAAAACTGAATTAAGGAAGACTTCAGATGGTAACTTTGTGTACATGTGAAAAAGTAAAAAGACTAGCAGGATACTTTATGCTGTACACTTCACTGTTTTTCCTAAAACAAAACTAATGCCTAAATGTTCTTCTAAGATACCAAGAATGACCTATTTATAAATTCTTGTTCAAATATGAAGATAAAACATTGTGTCAGCCAAGAGAAACATGCTCTGTTATACAGAAAAACATGTAGGTGTTTAAGATCTGTGTTGTAAATACAGATGTTCTTGCCTTAGCAAAAGAGCTATGTTCCTAAAAAGTTGTTTATAAATGTGTTTTTATAAAATGAATCACATTTTTCCATCATCGTATATTCCTCCTCTCAGAGAAGCAATTGCAGGGGAACAGTTTTCTTACAAGAAAATATATTGTTTATTTCAAGCACTAATATATTCTACCTGTTAGACATAAGGAAAGCATTCCTTGAGAGAGACAGGTAGGCACAGAGTAGGCAACAGTATCTGGGATGTCAGCTAAGAATTTGAGTGTCTCCTTCCAACATAACATTGCAGTGTAGGCTTGAAGTGGAGCATCCCAACTCCATTTCCCTGAAGGCAGCGATTTCTTCTACATTAAAAAAAAAAAAAAAAAAAAAAAAGTTTTGCTACTGTTTTTTTCTTAGTCAAAGAACAAATTATTTTTGTTGCATCTGCATAGCACAGAAAAGTAGATACCCCAAATTCAATGTCATCCCAGAAAACTCTAGTGTAAGTTTGTGGCTTGACGCTTTGCAACATTTCTGCATACAACAGATAGGTTTTTATGTTGGCCAGACACTGAGAAACCTCACCATCAATTGGTGTTAAGGTACATTGTTTGGAAAGGGTTTACTTCAGTCAGGATGTATTTGAATTTGAGATGGAAAACATAAAAATAAAAGCTAATTCTGTAAATAGAACAAAAATCCACCGGAGAATATTTATGTGATACAAAATGCTTTAGTCACGTTCCTACTTTTTACTTCAAGTGAAAAAAAGAAGACAGTTCAGAAGCAGTAAGTTAAAAAATAAATTACCCTTATAGACAAAGTGGTATATTATGTAGTTGGCATAGTGTAGCCCAAAATTCAAGAATCTTTTAGTTGGTACTGTTGCCTTTTCTGTAATTCCAAAAGATTTAGAACATGATCTAGAAATGTTATTGTTTATATGAAAATGAATTTAAGTTACCTACCATTTACAACAGACATTTCAGAAGAGAAACTAGTGTTCTTTTTTTAACCCTGCATAAAATATAGCTACTAATTCTTTTGAAGAATGAAACCATCTATTTCCAAAACACAAAAATATTGCTTCAAAATCCTGCTTTTTTCTGTATCCACCAAGAATCTCTTTTCTTATGTTATAAGCAGGGTGGTACAAAACTAAAAGAGACAAGAGTGTATGTGTACTACACTTTTCTTAACCCTGCTCAATTTAGTTTCTCTTTTCATCTTTCAAAAATTCCAGCTCTGAGATATTTTGAGCTTTAACTCTTTAAATCTGGCATAAAACTTAACTTAGTATTATATGAGCATTTCTTTAAAAGACAAAATCAGATTTTAGAGAAAATGAACTCTTTGACAATGTAAGCATTGTGTTTACAATCTGATAACAAGTGATAGCAGCTTCTGTGTTTGAAGTATAGACTGCAGAGATACTTTCGAAGTGAATTAGTGTTCAGGTAGAGGCAGATTTTACCTGTTTGAGTGTGTCCTGTTTGGTTCTGGCAAGATATATAATATTTTATGAACACGTTTTATTTGCTCTATGTTTTTTTAAAAACTAACATTTGTAATGACCTTGAGAAGATCAAAGTTCCATTTCTAAAGAGAGTGTTTCCTTGGTCATGTTCTGTTGACCTAAACCAGTTAAATTCAGTAAGGTAAGAACTAAGAAAATATATCAATTAATAGTGCATGATTTGGATGAATTCAGTGGTACAATACTTTGTGCACAGTACCACTAAAAAATATTCACTGATTTCTAAATATTGAGGGTGTTAAGGTGACAAGGCTTAAGAAAGATTTAGAAAGAGATCTTATATTTGAAAATTGAGTAAAAAAGCAGTGTTTTCTTTTTTTTACAGGAAAATAGAGTGTTTTCCATGTGAATTTTCTTATCCTTCATGTTACTTAAATCTAAGTGAAACATTTTCTCCCAAGTGTATTAGTGGAAACAAAATGTAAATACAAATGTTTATTTAAGCTAGTTAGCCCAAATTTTAAAAGTGGCATTCTGTAGGCAGCTACTAAGAACACTCTATCAGTTGTGGCAAACACCTTCAGGTTTTAACCTCCAACTCCTATTTTGACCAGAGTTTGTAAACTATTAGCAGTGCTTCCGTGCAGTAATATCACCCTGGCACAGACATTGTATTTAGTGGAAAAACCTTCCGATTTCCAAGGAGATTGGCTTTAAAGGTCTCTTCCAGGAAAACTACTTATTTTCATAAATGAATACCTTCCTTTATTCTTTTTTTTTTTTTTTTTTTTT